TTTCTAGGGAAAGAGTCACAAGACTCAATTCATGCAACGTATTCCAAGATCTAAGAGTACCCTTTTCTTGTCTCTATAATCTGGCATGGATTTTGTGAACCAAAGACACCTACTCTATATGCCACATGCTAATCCCCCACCAATTCCTCATACTGCAACACATTCTTCTCTTACAAATTTTCCCCTCATAGAAATCCTTCTTATAGGAATGGTGGTTTCATCTTTGTTCCTTTTACTCTACTACATGTTGGTTCTCAAGTGCTGCCTCAATTGGCACCATGGTCATCATGCAAGACTTTTTTCTCGATCCTGGTATGGTGCTGAAGACCCTTCTGCACCATACCCAACAGCATCAGATTCAGAGCCTAGAGGGCTAGAGGAAGCAGTGATTAAGTTGATTCCAGTGATTCATTACAAGCCAGAAGAAGAAGGGTACACAGAGTTTGGTGAAAGAGCCTCTAGTGAGTGTGCTGTTTGTTTGAGTGAATTTCAGCAAGATGAGAAGCTCAGGGTTCTACCAAATTGTAGCCATGTCTTTCACATTGATTGCATAGATGTTTGGCTTCACAACAATGCTCATTGCCCTCTTTGTAGAGCAAGTGTTTCCTTGATGACAAGCCGAGTCCATGTTGTTGACCAAGTCCAACTTCTCACTCCAAGGCCCTCCCCACAAGACCAAAGCCAAAACATTGATGAAAACCTCATTGATGAAGGTTTTGTTGTAATTGATTTAGATAGTGAACATGAACTTGAACTTGAACATGAACAAGACTTACAAGGAAGACAAGAAGAGTTAACATGTTCTATAAGTGATTCTTCACAAAGGAGGTTATTGGAGGAGAAGATTGCAAGGAAGCTTCAAAAAGTGACCAGCTTGAGAGATGAGTGTATTGATATTAGAGCCAAAGATGAAGGATTCTCAGTTCAGTTAGCCATGAGAAGGTCTTTCTCAATGGATTCATCGGTGGATAGACAATTCTATGGGGCAGTTCAACAGGCTTTACAGCAACAAAATGGACATGTCAATGAGGTCAACACAATTGAGGCTTGTGGTGGAAGTGGTAGAGTCAAGAGATCATTCTTTTCTTTTGGACATGGAAGCAGATCAAGAAATGCTGTATTACCTGTTTATTTGGACCCCTGAAAATTTCTCTTAGGCCCCTTAATCTTTTATAAGAATTGGTCTTAGTTCTTATACTTTAAAATTGATTTTGGTTCTTGTGTTTTTTTATAATTGGTGAATTTCATCTTTCATTCTAGTATCTTAAGTTTCATTAAGAGAGGTGAAATTCACCAATTATCAAATATTGGAAGACCAAAATCATCATTTTTAAAATATAGAAACTTAAGGCTATTGTTAGCTGAAAAATTGAGGTCTTTTTTCCTATCCGCTATTCAGTTTTTGTTGGCCTATATATGTTTTCAAGTTCATTTGAATGTTTGTGATGTGAGGCAGAAAGATTAGATGTTTGAAATGGAAAGGGCACAGGACTGTATGATACATGGATACTACATTGGATTTATAATATTATTGTAGAGCCATAATTATATAATTTATCTTTTGACATTTCTGAACTTATATAATTGCTTGGGATTCAGATCATTTCCACTTTGGTTTCAAATGTCTTGAAGCTATGCTTGTAAGCATCATTGCTGAAATTGGCATATAATAGATCTCTCAAGAAACCTTCTCCCACTAAGGATAAATTAAGTTTTCTTCATGTGCACTATACTCTTGTAATATATAGATAGATAGTTAGTCATAGAGAATTAAACAATAGAAATGGAAAAACCAACTATTTGCCTAAAAGTTGTATCCAGGGTAAAGGTGTACCGTTTAAATTAGAAAGGTGGGCTCTTTTCCATTAATAAATAAAGTCATATACAACCACCTTATTTATATTTCCGTGTATATACTATATGTTTATTTTGTTGAGAGTTTTTTTTTTTTTTTTTTTTCATTAACAACCCTTCCATTCTTTTATATTTGTCAAATTTTTAGTAAAATTTTGTTTCTATTTACTTATTATTTTCAAATTTCAAAACATCCTTAATTATTATATTATCAAATATACCATTACATCTTACTTAACTTTTAATAAATTTACGTGTGATAATCAATATATATTTATTATGAAGCAAAAAAAAAATAATATAATATAAATCATTCTATAAAAAAATAGAAGAAAAAAATATTACACTTCTTAATTTATATAAAATAACATTAAACAAAAGATACTTAGATCAGTGATCCTTAAAATTCACCAGGACCATGTATCAAAGTTGAAAGAGCACTTACCTATCAACAAAATTTAAATTCATGTGAGAAATATGAGCTGGTACATGAAAGAAGTTTGATCATTTAGGTTTGGTAATGGTTTTTGATCTACAAAGTCTTCCCAACAAAGTCTTGGTAAAGTCTTTCAAAGACCCTTTTTCGGACGTTGACTCCATGACCTGCATGAGCTGAGTTGGACCCTTTCAGGTCCACATGTCCACACTGGTGACTTAGGGTAATTAATGGCCATTTTCAGAGGACTTTAGTCTTCTTCTTATTATGATCTGTGTTTGACCAGGTAATAGCGGTTTCTTCAGTACTATTGTATTTCTAATTTCTTAAGTAACGTGTCTTCGTTTGACCAATTCAGTCGCCACCCTGACTCACTCACACTCCAGTTTTCTGTAAAAGTAATAATTACTAATTGGGTTTTAACGTTATTATATAATCTTCTTAATGTCAACAAATAATTAGTTTTAGTAGAGTTGGTGAGTCTCCTCAAATAAGTTCTCAATTCAAAAATTATGGACAGAAAAAGAAAAGTAATTGAGAGGGGGAAACCCTACTGAACGTTATCGATGGAATTATCGAATAGATATTTAAAATCGACAAAAAAATAATAAATATTTTGAATTTCAATTGTTACTAAAAAAAATAAAATTTTATAATCATTAAGTTTTCTTCAAAAAAGTTTTTCATACGGACCGAAACAGTCTCAATGGATAAAATTTTGAAATGAGTATATGTTAAATACGAATTTTATAAATACTTGTGAATATTTGTGGATTATTTTAAAAAAATAATATTAAAAAAGTATTAAAAATAATTTTAAATTTATATTTGATGTGAATTTTATTAAAATATTAAAATAAATAATTTATTTTAATTTTTAAATTTATATTTAATGTTAATTTTGTTAAAATATTAAAAATAAAAAAAAATGATACCGCATAAGTTCAAAATGAAAGTCTCAATTTACTTAGCTAAAATAATAGAGAAATTATGATAGATAATGTGATTTAGAGTTATTTACTTATATATATATAAATAGAGGAGGGTTCAAACGACACTGGTGTAACTTTTACTAAGTGTTACACCGTTCAATAACTTTATATTAAATTTGAATTTTGAAAATCCAACCGTTAGATTGAAAGTTCATATCTCTTAGATCATATATGTCAAATTTTGTTAAAATTGAACAACAACTTGAAGGTAATCAAAATATTCATATTTTAATATATTTTGAAATGTATATATTACGTCAATTTTGTTTTATGAGAATGAAGTATCAAATCATCTTAAATTAATATAAAATTTGATATATATGATCTAAGAGATATGAACTTTCAATCTAACGGTTGGATTTTCAAAATTCACATTTAATATAAAGTTATTGAG